CATGTGTGTGCGTTGTGTCGTGTTGCGTGTGGCAGTAGTGCGTGTTCGTGGTGGGGTTCGAGTTCGTGTTAGTGTGTCGTGTGTGCGTGTGTGTGGCGTATATGTGTGTCTGTGTGCGTTTGTAGGTTTGTTGTGAGCGTGTGTGTGGTGTGGAGTAGTGTGAGTTGTGGTGGTGCGTTGTGTGCTGTGTGCGTGTGCCGTGTGTAGTGTGTGGTGATGTAGTGTGCGGAGTGTTGGTGTGCATGTGTCGTTTGCGTGTGCGTGTGCATGCGTGTGCGCCTTCGTGTTCGTTGTGGTGTGCGTGTGTTGCGTGCATGTGCGTGCGTATGTGTGCGTGTGTGCGTGTGTGCGTTTGTGTGGCGTGTGTGCGTGTGTGCGTCGTTTGTCGCGTGCGCGTGTGCGTGTGAGTGTGCTTATTTTTTTTTATTCTTGTTGTGGGCGTGTGTGCGTAGTGTGCGTGTGTGCGTGTGTGTGCGTGTGTGCGTTGTGCGTGCGTGCCTGCGTGCGTGCGTGCGTGCGTGCGTGCGTGCGTGTGTGTGTGTGTGAATGTGGAGTGTGGAAATATGTGTGCGTGCGTGTTGGCGTTTGGGCGTGTGGGGGTGTGGGCGTGTGGGCGTGTGCGCGTGTGTGCATGTGTGCGTGTGGGCGCGTGGGCGTGTGGGCGCGTGGGCGTGTGGGCGTGTGTGCGCGCGTGTGTGTGTGCGCGTGGGCGTTTATGTGACGCGTGTGGCGGAGGGCCGCGTCCGGAGCGCGCACCACGCGCACTGCCGCGTGGTGGGGGCGGATGGGGGGGGGGGGCTGCTCGAGGGGCCAGCGTCTGGGGAGGGCGGGGGGGTTCTTAGAGGGCAGGGGGGCCCTCCTTCTCAGAGGAGTTCCCCAGGAAGACCCCCAGGGCCCTGAGGCGCCTCGCACGCCGTAAGTCCACTAAGGACCCCAGGGGCATCCCCTATCCCTGAAGCGTTAATTCCCTAGGACCCCATAGCCGCGGAGGGTCGTTAATATTGAGGGGGGCCCTTTCCTCCCTGAGCTCCCTGCTGGGAATATGTCGCCCCGTCCCCTCCTCGCCCCTCCCATCCTCGCCCTCCTTCTCGCTATCCCTCCTCGCCCTCCTCCTCGTGCTCCTCTCCTCGCCCTCCACCTCGCCCTCCCTCTCCTCGCGCTTCCCCTCCTCCCTCCTCCTTCTCCTCGCTCTCCCCTCCTCGCCCTCCAAGCACCCTCCTCTTCGTGCCCCCCCTCGCAACCACTCGCATCCTCTCCTTAAGTTTCCCCTCCTTCACCACATTACTTCAATCTATGAAATACTACTCCCCTCTTTCCCCTTGAGACGTTTTGGGAATATTTCGCCCCCCCCCCCCCGCGTCCGGTAATGTTTTTTTTTTTCGCCCGACTATGCCCTCGGCCCTTCACGGGTGTTGGGCTTTCGCTGGCGTTCGCATCCAAAAAAATGTGCTCTCGCTGAAGCGCCGGCCTATTTTCGAGCCGGCTCGTTCCGAATCGTGCCCCGGCAGAGCGCTGGCATCGTTTCCGCCGGCGCGGAAGCTCCATGAGTTACGCCCGAGCCGCCCGGTCCCCCCCGTCTCGCAGCACACCCGCCCCCCCGACCGCCCCCGGGCCAGGGCCCCCCCCCCCCCCCCCTCCCCCCCCCCCCCCCCAACGCGAACCCCCCCCCCCCCCCCCCCCCCCCCCCCCCCCCCCCCCCCCCCCCCCCCCCAACCAGTTTTCTGGCCGGCGCCGGAAAATCGAATTCCGAGGCGGCGCCGAAAAAATGGCATTCTAATACACATTCTTTGACGGGTGCGGGTTCTATAAAACACTATATATAGCTATTGCGCACTATAGGATCCTATCAACATGCACTAGTACATAAGATTTTTTTCTAAAAAAAAAAGGAAAATAGTGAAAACAATAATGTTAAATAGTGGAAATAATAGAAAGAATAGTGAAAACATACTGAAAAGAATGAAACAAATAATGAAAATGAAAAAATAGCTAATTCTAAGAAAAATCACAAACCAGCTTGCTTCACTTCCTTTCTCTCCTGACTTTCCGCAGCGGCAGACCGCTTTTACATTGCAAGTTGTTCAGTGCAGCGGTTTGGCCGCTTCAGAACTTTCGTTTTTAATCACGTCCATGTTGGCTGCGGGGCCGAGGGCGCCGCACGTGGCGCAGCGAGCATCCCAGGCAGCCATTTAACGAATTCTCGAATTCGGCTGGGCGAATTCAAAAAACTTGAAGCCAAAAACGGCTGCGACGAAATCGTTATCCTGTCCCCCTCCTCTTCCTACTCCTCCTCCTCCTCCTCCTCCTCCTCCTCCTCCTCCTCCTCCTCCTCCTCCTCCCATGCAAAGCGGTTGGGCCGCTGAGGAGCAGAATGGGGAGGCAGGAGGGAAGCGAACGCAAAGCGGTTGGCCCGCTGAGGAGGGAGGAGGAAACGGATGAGGGAGGTGACGGAGGGCGGGGGGGGGTAACAGTAGTCAGAAGAGGAAGCAGAGAATATATATACATATATATATATAGATATATAACAAAAACGGGGGGAGGAGAAAGAAAAAAACTGTAAAAAACGAAAAAAAAAGAGAAGACAACACCAGACAACAAAAAAACAACACACAAACAACAACAACACAACAAACAAAACATACAACAACACAAAAACAACAAAACACAACATGTTGTGTGTTGTTGTGTTTTTTTGTTGTGTTTGTGTTGTTTGTGTGTTGTCTGGTGTTGTCTGGCGCCCGCCCTACAAGACAACACAAAAACAACAACAAACACCATACAAACAAAATAAAACAACAAACAACAACAAACAACATGAAAACAACACCCAGACAACATCCAGCTAACATCCAGCCTGCTGCCAATGGGAAGGGGAGGAGGGGGATGGGGGAGGAGGAGGGGGGGGCGGAGGGGGAGGAGGAGGAGGTGGAGGAGGAGGAGCGCGAAGAGGATAGAGGAGGAGGGGGGGGGGTGGGAGGGGGGGGGGTGGGAGGAAGCGGAAAAGAGGGGAGTGGGAGGACGAGGGGGAGGAAGGAGGGGGGGGCAGGGGGGGAGGAGGAGGAGGGGAGGAGAGGGAAAGATGATAGAGGAGGAGAGGTAGGAGGAGGAAAAGGAGGAGGGGGAGGAGAAGAGGGGGAGGAGGAGGGTAAGTGGATAGAGGAGCAGGGGTAGGAGGAGGAGAAGGGGGAGGAAGAGGAGGAGGAGGAAGAGGAATGGGAGGAGCTTCGGAGCTTCGGATTTGGGGGTGCCGAGGCCCAGGAGTGCCAGCACCAAGGGGGTGCCGAGGCCCCAAGAGGGGCGCCGAGGAGGAAGGGGAGGAGGGGGCACAGGAGGAGGAGGAAGAGGAGGAGGAGGAGGGGGACGAGGAAGAGGAGGAGGAGGAGGAGGAGGAGGAGGTGAACACCTCCTCCTCCCTCCTCCTTCTCCTTCTTCTCCCTTGGAGCACAACGTTCTGGCGTCGGTCAGCCTTGTTTCAATGTCTGAATTTTGAGATGTAAAGAAAAAGTAAAAAAATAATGAAAAATAGTGAGCAAGTAATGGGAAAATAATGATAAATAGTGAAAATAGTGAAAATAGTAACGAATAGTGAAAATAGTTAACAAAAAAATATGTTTAGGGATTCCAAGTTCAGCTGATGATAGGACACTGTAAGCTCCTATAGATCCTATAGTGAAACACAGGGGGGGTTATCGGGGACTATCACTATCGGCATTCCTATGGAACCTATTGGGCCTCCTAACCAATCCTAACTCATCCAAACCTCTCCTACAATAGAACCACTTCCCTAACCTATAACTACTTATAACTTCGCACCCATCAAAGTTGTTCTTTTGAGAATGCTGAATTTCTGCTTCCGGCGCCCGGGAGGCCTCCCAGGCCGATTCCGACGCCCAGGCAGCGCCCGAGCCGGCGCCCAGGCCGGATCCGGCCTGGGCGCCGGAAAATCGAGGCGGCGCCGAAAAAAGGCCATTCCAATACAATTTTTTCTTTTGAAAATGCTGAGTTTCTGCTTCTGGCGCCCGGGAAGCCTTCCCCGGAGTTAGGCTTTCGCCTGCAATTTTTCCCACCATGCTGCTCTCGCTGAGGCGCCGGCCTCATTTTCGGGCTCGCTCGTTCCGAATCGTGCTCTCGCTGCAGCGCTGGCCTCATTTCCGTGCTTCCGCTCGTTCCGAATCGTGCTCCCGCTGCAGCGCTGGCCTCATTTCCGCGCTTCCGCTTGTTTCGACTCGTGCTCCCGCTGCAGCGCTGGCGTCATTTCCCGTGCCATGCCACGGCATGAATGCAATGCAAGGTTGATACTACGTTCGCGGTGCTCTTCTACGCCATGCCATGCCGTGCTCCACAATGCATCGCGTACCCTTTCGGGATCATCGCCCTGCTTGACATCCGACTGTGCGAGTAGAGAGGGGATCTGCGCCATGGTAAGGGATGGGAGGGAGGGGTAGGATGTCAGATATGACGCGAGCGCACCTAGCTTGTCGCTAGCCCCTCCTCGCCCTCCTCCTCGTGCTCCCCCTCCTCGCCCGATTCTGAGGGCGCGCCGCGGAGGCTGGAGAGTGGATTCTCCCTCCTGCTACCACGGCGTCGAGCGAGCCGGCCCTGAGGCCCCCGTGGGACACCATTTTCTTCACGCCGACGTCGCCGATGCATCGCCGACGCGCTGCCAATGCATCGCGGACGCATCGCCGATGAATCGGCGATGCGGCGCAGTCCTCCGACCCCATCTACTCGGACCCCATCTGAGAGGCCCATCTGGGAGGCCCAGAGGAGCGGAGCCGGACGTGGACGGGGAAACGTTAGGAGGCAACTACTGGGAAGTCTTGAGTGTTGTCTCAACGGGGTTTTTCGGGGGAGGAGCTTGCTCGAGCCAGAGGGTGCTCAGGACGGCGCGTCCTCTCGTTCTCCCGGGGCTGTGGCTCGCGTCCGTCCTCTCGACGGGGTGGCCGCCATTCGAGCCGCGCCCGCCCCGCCATCAGGTGGTCGCCGACGAGGCGACGTCTATGCCCCCGCCGAAGACATGGGACAAGCGGTTCCACCGCCACAGCGAGGGCCGTGGGCGGGAGGTGCGATTGCTCCACCGCGTGCCGGGGAAGACGAGCTTGTGGACGTGCGTCCTGCCTGGAGGCCGGGTCACGACGATTCGCCTGAACGCTGGGAGGGCCACGATCACGCCCACCAAGCCCGCCAAGTCGGGCGTCTGGTGGGAACCTATGCCCGCGCTCACCGCCGCCCAGAAGCGCGCCGCCGAGGACACGAGCCGCGACATGATCGCCAACGCGGCTGCGATGCCCGACACCGCCGAGCTGGACAGGTACCGGAAGCAGCAGGGGGTGGCGGCGCGGCTCCAGCGGGTCGTGCAGACGATCGCCCTGCTGCCCGCGGGTATCGTCGCCTTGGGGCACTGGTCGGTGGGCTCCTGGTGGCGTTCGGCGGGCATTCTCATCACCATCTACTTCATATACTACGTGATGGAGCGCTCGGGCCTGATTGCCTGGTGTCGCGCGCTCATGCAGGCTGGCAGCACGACGGCCTGGGTGTTCAGTTCCATGATGGATATGTACCAACAGTTGCACGAGGCCGTGCAAGGGTGGATCGACGACTTCAACGAATACAGCGGCTACCAGATCACGATGTGGGAGTTCAAGATGGCCGTCATCTCGTTCATGACCATCGCGGCCCTCGTCTCGTACTTCTGGGAGGAGGTAAGGGACGCGCTGACGGAGGAGCTGGCCTCAGACGCGGAGTCGGAGCCGCCGTCGCCGACCACCAGCGGCCGCGTCACCTTCGAGGACTTCCAGGACGAGGACTCGGAGGCCCCGTGGAAGCAGGAGGTCGCCAGCGCGTTGAAGATGCTGGCAGAGGGTCAGTCGAGGCTCCAGGAGACCGTCGAAGCTGTAGAGGGACGTGCTCGTCAGGACCGTCTTCTCCGATCGGTGCAGGGCGTCGACGCCGAGAGCGGATCGGGGCCGAAGTCGGTGGAGGATCTCAGGCGGCGGATCGACTACTTCGAGCAGCTGGTGCGGGACGGCAAGGTGACGGTGCCGTCGGACTCCTCGCCTGCAGCCACGGGTGCTTCCTGGGAGGTCCTCACGCCGACGTCGTCGGGGCGGGAGCTCGCGCTTACGGACGCTCGGGGCCCCTCCACTCCGCCCAGGTCGACGTGGGCCTCCCCTGCGTCTGCGGCCAGCCCTGGTCGCCAGGCGCCCGCGGCCAACCCGCCGCCCGTGCCGCAGCCGCCAATCGGGGTGGCCGCGACCTCTCCGGGGCGCGTCGCCAACATGATCTCCCACCTCGAGCGCATGAATATCAACCCGCAGCAGGCCTGGATGGAGGCGCTGAAGGAGTATCGCGAGATCGAGCCGAGCCAGTGGCACATGCCCGACGGCTACCGCCAGCGAGTCGTGCCCGAGTACCTGACCAAGGTGTACAGCGCGCCGCGGACGGGCAAGGAGTACGCTCAGCAGTTCCTCCGCGACCGCCAGCTGGAGACGTGCGGCGCCGCCAAGGGCATGGTCGACGCGCTGGCCTGCATCGACAGGCTGCTGCTGGAGGACCGCACCCCCGACCTGGTGAACCTCGTCAGCCTGGAGTACCTGGCGAGGAAGGCCTACGCGATCGAGACGGGCTTCGAGCTGGTGCGCTGCGAGAGCGACTGGAAGAGGCCGTCGGGCAAGAAGGAGTGGACGTCGAAGGTGGACTGGGACATGATCCACCGCATCGACCCAGCCAGCGTGTCCGACGCGGCCCGCGGGGAGTACATGAGGGAGGTACGCGAGGAGCTGAAGACCGGGATGGCCAGAGACGCCGACTTCATGAAGCTGAAGCTGAAGGTCGGGGAGAGGTCGCCAGCGGTCGACCCGATCAACGGCTAGAGGGGGCGCCGCCCTGGGCGCTTTCTTCCAGGTCGCTCCACGCCTCAACGCAGATCGTGGGCGACCGAGTTTTTGCCGAGCCCGGCGTCGTGCCTCGTGGGTGGTCGTCGGAGCGAGTTTCCAACGTGGAGCGCATTGATCCTGAAGCACGCCCTTACCACCGTGATGACCGAGCAGACAGAGGTCGGCGACCCGCTCAGGGCCCTGAAGCTGATCGAGTATCCTGCGACCGACTCGGGGGCGCGGAATCGGAGCCGAGATCGGGCGCGCCTGCGGGAGATCGACCGGGCCAACCACTGCTTGGTGGCGCTCCGCTGCCTGGCCTCGGGGTTCGTCTCGAGCGAGGTCCTGGAGACGCGGCCTTCGGTCCCGAGGGGTTTGTCCCCCCATCGTCTCAACGAGAAGTCGCTGGCGGCCGGGCTGGCTCAGAGGATTCTGCGTGCTGTCCGACGGCGACTGCCTGCTGCAGACCGTCCGGTGGGGCGAGTCGCATTCGAGCGGCTCACGGGAGGCGCCGCCAGCGGAAGCGGCCCCTACCCTGTGGGGTCGACCCCCACCACCCCGCCAACACTTGCAAAGAGAGGAGACATCTGCCCCGCGGTCGTGGACGAGATATCGCTGCCGCCGGTGGGGACGACGGGCCTGAGGATCGAGGATGTCTCGCCGCGGGCCGCCGCCCTGCTGTCGGACTACCGGGGCACGATGCTGAGGGGCGAGATGGCGGAGGGGGCGTCGGGCATCAAGCCGTACACCGACCCCCTCCTGAGAGTCAAGAAGAACATGGTCAGGCTGGTCGCTCGCATGGCTGCGGGCGGCATGATGGACACGTCGGATGTTTGCAAGGGGGAGGTGGCGCTCTTCACGGTCGTCAAGAAGTGGGTCTTGGCGGAGGGCGCCCAGCCCAAGCGCAGCTCCCGACTGGTGTTCGACGAGCGCCTCGAGAACCTGAAGTGGCGGCGGCCGCCCTGGTGCTCCCTCGGAGCCGGAACGGCACTCGGCTTCGTCGACGCGAGCAAGGAGATCGCCGAGGGCTACCAGGTGCTGGCCGCGGTCGGCGACATCCCCGACTACTACTACAGGCTGCTGCTTCCGCTGGAGGTCGCGGAGCACTTCGTGGTGCCGGGCGTATCCCCGGCGGAGGTGGCGGAGGAGATGAGGGCGCGGGGGTTGCAGGTCCCATTCGACGAGACCAAGGCCTACATGGTCGTGCGGGCCCTGGTCATGGGCTTCTGCTGGGCGGTCTACTTGGCGCAGATCTGCCTGGAGGATTGCCTGCAGGGGGCCGGAGGATGGCTGCACGAGCGAAATCGGCTGGCGTACGGCCTGCCCGTCCCGAGGATCCGCCCGAGCGAGCCCGTCCACTGGCAGTACATCGACGACTACGGCCTACTGGCGCTCGACGCTCCGGAGGCGACGGCGGAGGCCTTCGGTGCCGACGGGCTCGTCGGCCTCGCCAAGGCCAGGGGCGACGTGACGTCGCAGCTGAAGGAGCGGGGCTTGCCTGTTCACAAGGAGGAGTTCGGGAAGCAGGTCAAGACGCTGGGCTGGCTTCTGTCCGGCACCGAGGACGGGGACATGTTCGTGGAGCCCGACCCCGAGAAGATGGACATGCTGGTAGAAGCCACGGTGGAGGCCTGCCGCCGAAGGACGATCAAGGTGCGGGACCTGATGACCTTGGTCTCGACCTGGACGTGGTTCGCGCTCGTCCAGCGGCCCACCCTCTCCATCTTCGACGCGGTCTACAAGGCCATACAGAAGTTCAAGGACGGCGAGGACGTGACGATGTGGCCCGGGCTGAAAGGCGAACTGATGACCATGGTCGCTATCAGGCCCCTGCTTTTCGCCCGACTGGGGCGGCCCTGGCTGGAGCAGGCGGGCATGACGGACGCGAGCTTCTTCGGGGCGGGCGTCCTGGTCACCCCCTCCGGGATCGACGAGCTGAGGAGGGAGGCCCGACTCGCAGCGCCGAAGGGCTGGTTCGCCGAGCAGGCGGATCTCCTAGGCGAAGACAGCAGCGACGACGAGGAGGACCCGGCGGACATCGACAACGGGCGCGACGCGTCCGACGAGCCCGAGGCAAGGAGGTCTATGAGGCCCATGGTCCCGGGCACCGAGGTGAACCGCACGGCCCACCTGTTCGCGGGGCACCGCCGACCCCTCGACTTCGAGGACCACCTGACCAGGATGGCGCAGGAGCGGGACCGATGGCTAGTCGTGGAGTCGATCGACAAGGTGCTCCACAGCGACCACGACCTGCTCGACCGCAAGAAGGTGCAGGCCCTGTGTCGCCGCGCGCTGGAGGGCCAGTTCCAGACAGCCCACGCTGGCCCGCCGTGCGGGACCTTTGCCCGCGCTCGGCACAATCGGGCATGCCAGGGCCCCCCTCCCCTGAGGAGTCGGACGCGCCCCAGGGGTTTGGCAGGGCTTTCGACGACTCACCGGGCACAGGTGATGGTGGGCTGGGAGCTGTTCGTCGCGACGATCGAGTTCCTGGGCTGCGTAGTCATCGGCGGGGGCCTCTACTCCCTGGAGCACCCCGAGGACCCTGGGCAGGAGCCGTACCCGAGCATCTGGATCCTTACGGTCACCATGGCTCTGGAGAACATGGCCTTCGCCCGCGGCTCCAACGGCTTCGAGGCTGCCAAGAGGGACTTCTGGGAGAAGATCAGGGAGGCCAGGGACCCCAACGTCAGCGACCGCGAGCTGCTGGGCGTGCCGGGCGAGGCTCAGCGGGCCTCGAGGGCGTCCTTCGACCAGTGTCGGGAGGGTCTGGCATCACGGAAGCCAACTACAGTGTCCAGCAGCATCCTGACGTTGGTCCGGGCGCTCGACGGCCGCAGGTGCGACCACGGCTGGCACCCGCCGCTGCAGGGGAAGCTTCCAGACGGCAGATTCCGGACCTCGCTCGCCCAGAACTACCCGAGCCAGCTGTCGGAGAAGCTGGCCTTTCACCATCTCGAGGCGCTCGACCTGGTCGTGCCCGGGTCACGGAAGCCGATGCAGTCCCTGAGCGACGAGGTGGCGGTCCGCCTGGCCGCCTTCGCTACGGCGGGGGACGACCTCGCCGCGCAGATTCGAGCGCCAGAGGTCGGGCCCAGCTGGGACCCGCTGGAGCGCTGGAGCGAGCTCCTGAGGGTCAGGTGGACGCGTTCGGAGCACCAGAATGTCCTCGAGCTGCGTGCTCTCATGCTCTACGTCCAGACCACCCTGAAGAAGAGATCGGCCTGGGACAGGCGCCTGCTCGTAATCACGGACTCGATGGTGGCGATCGGCGCGGTCTCAAAGGGCAGGAGCAGGTCCAAGTCTTTGAACACTCTCCTCCGCCGCCTCGCCGCCTACGCCCTCGGCTGCGGGTCAACGATCTACCCGAGGTGGGTGTCGAGCGGGCGGAACCACGCGGACGGGCCGAGCAGAGGCTACAGCAAGGGCCAGGCGCCGAAGGAGATCACAGAGCGCCTACGGCCACCTGTTCGTCATGGCGTGTTCGTGGACGGAGTGCGGGTGACGGCGCCTGTGATTGGGCAGACATGACAGGGCCTCGTGGACTACCGAGTGCTGCGACGAGGTCGGGACCCATGCTGGGGCTGATGATGGCGATCCTGCTGTTTCAGGTGGAGGGCGTCAGATCCACTGCCAGGCGGGCCTCGCCAGCTGCGGCGCTCCCGAAGATACAGCGCCGTGGCCTGCGCGCCTGGCAGACCTCGGGCACCGACTTCTTCGAGGGCCACAAGAGCGACCTGCTGAGCGGCGGCTGCCCCCCGAGGCTGCTGGTGCACGCGCAGATGGACGCGACGGCGCTCCAGTACATGAGGGCCTGCAGGAAGTTCTGCGACTGGGCAGAGGAGCAGGAGGTCGAGATCTACCCGAGCTGCCGCCTGGATAAGGCGATCAGTGTCTACCTGGACGTCTTGTGCTTCGACGACGAGATCGGCGTCGGTGAGGGCAAGAGCTTGACCTCGGGCATGCTGGCCATGTACCCAGGGCTTCGCCTTCCGGAGGCCTACCGCGCCCTGAAGGCCTGGGAGGGTCTCCGCCCCACGGTGCAAGGCTCGCCCATCGGCGTCCCGCTGCTGATGGAGATCGTGGACCGGATGTCTCACTACGGCGAGGACGGCCGCACAGCAGCGGACGCTGCTCTGCTCGCCTTCGACTGCTACCTCAGGGAGCAGGACTGGGAGCTGATGAGGGTTTCGGACGTCGTCTCGGCCGACGGCGTGACCGCGATCCGGCTGGGCGTCCAGGAGCGCGGCGAGCGGGTCAAGACGGGGCAAGAGCAGGGCGTTTTGATTGACTACCCCGGGACCCAGAGGATGCTTCTCGACCGCATCCAGGGCAAGAAAAAGGACGATCGCATTTTCCCCATCAGCCAGGTCAGGTTCCGAAACATGTGGTACCGAGCGTGTGCGGAACTCGGCGTTGCAGAGATCGTGGGCCGACCTCACAACATTCGACACACGGGGCCCTCCTTCGACGTTTGGATCGGTTATCGCACTTTGAAAGAAGTCCAAAAGAGAGGCCGTTGGAGAGTAGATTCAAGTGTTCAGAGATATTCCAAGACCCACGAGTACGCCACAGCCCTCGCGAGAACCCCTGAGAACCTGAAGGAGCTAGGTAGCCAGAAGTACCATGACCTCGGTGAGCGGCCCAAGAGGCCGCGGTCCTGAGCTGTAAGCTGTGAGTGCTTGGGTTTCTGTTCTAGTCCGGAGGCGGGCCTCGCTTTTCCCCTCTCCGCCCTCCCTTTCTCGCTCCGCCCGCCTCAAGTGTCCTGAAGGACCCCTTACAGGATTCCGGGTGTGGCCGTGCATGACTGTCCAGATTCGCGCTCCTGGAGCGCGAGTGCGAGGCCTGTCAATAACTACAGCCACTGCGAGGTTGCTCGCATTTCTCGTGAAATAGTATCTTGTGCGGCAGGAGTCCGAGGGAAAAACATGTGCGATAGAACTCTCACTTGTCTAATGTCACGGAGTCTGCGCTCCCCTCCGGCGTCCCTTTAAAGCTAGATCCCTTTAGAAAATGAGTGTTGTCTCAACGGGGTTTTTCGGGGGAGGAGCTTAGCAGGGACAGAGGGTTGCTCATAGTCTTCCCTCCCGTACCCACCCTGTGCTCCCCCCCTCCCGTGGCCGTGCATGACTGTCCAGATTCGCGCTCCTGGAGCGCGAGTGCGAGGCCTGTCAATAACTACAGCCACTGCGAGGTTGCTCGCATTTCTCGTGAAATAGTATCTTGTGCGGCAGGAGTCCGAGGGAAAAACATGTGCGATAGAACTCTCACTTGTCTATTGTCACGGAGTCTGCGCTCCCCTCCGGCGTCCCTTTAAAGCTAGATCCCTTTAGAAAAAGGAGCGTTTGCAGTGGATCCAGGACCGCCAGTGGGATGTCGCCTGGCTCTCCATGGAGGACCAGACGCGCACCTCGGTCACCGCGAAGGGCCGCGAAGACCACATCGCGGCCCGCGTTCGCCGTGTCACTGAGCTCGCGCGAGCTGGCGAAATGTCTCGGGCGGCAGCGGCAGCGTGGCCCCAGGGTGATATGGCGGATGCGGCGGTGGTGGTTCGGAAGTTTAGCACCACCCAGCAGCCTGCGGCGCATCACCCAGGCGAATGGGGCCCTCCCCCTGGCACTGGGGCCGCCCCGCATGGGCCAGGGGGGGCCCCCCCGCGGCGGGGGCCGACGTGGCGACGCCGCCAGCCACGCCCCCTCACGAGCTCCTCCGCGCGGCAGAGCTACACCACCGCGTGGCCAACCACCTCGAGCGCCAGTTTGGTGGCTTCCCCCGCCGTGGCGGCGCGGGGCCTGGAGGCGGCCGCTACGAGCACTGGGCTCCGCTCAAGCACGACGAAGACGGAGCGGGGGCGGTAGCCAATGCGCTGGCGCGCTTGGCCATCGGTGACCTTCCTCCCGAAGCTCTAGCCGCCCTGACCGCGGCGCGCCTCGCAGGCGTCCCCAAGGCCACCCATGGGGGCGTGCGAGTCCTGGGCTGTGGGAATGTCGCCCGCCGCATGGTTGGCCGCAGCGCGGCCAAGGTCCATCGCGCGGACATGCGGGCGGCGGTGGGGGACCAACAGTTCGGCCTGGCTAAGGGCGGCTGCGGTGCCCTCCATCGACGCCTCTGTACGATGGCCAATTCGGGCCCTGGCAAGTGGGTGGCGGCGGTGGACCTCGGGGATGCGTTCAGCAACATCCCCCGTGACCTCGTTAAGGAGGCCGCACGCTCCAAGGTGCCCGCCCTGGCGCCGCTAGCGGAGGCCTGGCTCCCTGCTCGCACGCGCCACGCGGCGGGTGGTGGGTCCCAACCTGCCCAGCTGGTCGATCAGATCCGCGGCCTCGACCAGGGCTGCCCTATGAGCCCTGGCTTCTACGCGGTCGTCGCTGCGGATGACCTCAGCGTCGGCCGCGCGGCCGTGCGCGCGGTGGGCGTCGAGGGGGGCTGCCTGGCGTTCTTGGACGACACGTACTTCGTGGGCACCGCGGCTGCTGTGTTCCGCGGCTTGGATGCCTGGCGAGCCCGCATCGAAGCCCATGGGATGAAGCTGAAGATGTCCAAGACCCAGATCTGGTCCCCGGACCCTCACGCTGTCCTGCCGCCGGAGTTCGCGGAGTACGCCCAGCACCGCGCCCCGAAGCTCAAGGCGGTGGGGTCTACTCTGGCCTACACAAACCACGACGTGGATGCTGACTGGCGGGGCGCCCCGCTCACCCCCGGAGGACCTCGACGCGGGCGGCCTCGCGCCGGCTGGCGGTGCCGGGGTCGCCCCGGGCGCCGCCATGCCACTCCCCTGCGGCGAGGCCTTCCTCCAGAAACAGGACCGCTACTTCCGGGAAGAACTCCTGGCGCTCCGCGCGCGCGGGCTGTCTGCCCTTGACGCCTTCCAGTTGGTGCGGATCTGGTCGAGGGGCGCCTGCGCCCACATCCAGCGCGCGCTTCCGTTCACGGCGGCGCGGGGCCGCCGGGTGGATGACGGAGCGGTCGCCTTCGTCAACGCCCTTCTGGGGGTCACGGCCGCCCCCCGAGAGCAGATCTTCATAGAGGTCAGCGACGGAGGTTTGGGCTGTGGCAGCGCTGAACAGCGCGGCCCCGCTGCCCCCCTGGCGTCTTGGGAAGCCGGGATCCGCGCGGCTGCCCAGGAGCTGCGCGAGACGACAGCGGTTGGCTTCTGGCTGCGGTGGCCGGGCCTTGGCCGCGCCCTCTCGGCGGCGGGCGCGGGGCAGGGGCGGTTGGCGGGAGGCCGTCGCCCCCAGGGTGGCCGCCGGCAGGGCCTTTTGGAAGGGCGGAAGGGCAAGGACCATAAGACGTGCACTCAGCATGTACGGGACCACGCCACCAAGACGTCCTTGGCCGCGCTGCCGGCGTCGGCGGCGGCGGCGGTGCACAGCGCCTCGGGCAGCTCAGCGGGCGCCTGGTTGGACAACTTCGAGGGGGTCTCGCCCCTCGCCGACCACGCGTTCTGCATTGCGGCCAAGAGGCGCATGCACTTGCCGCTGCTGCAGTCCGAGTGCACGTGCCAGAACTGGCCGGCGGCGCCCACTCGCGCGATGGCGCAGGCCGGCCCGGCGCGTGGCCGCGCGGTGGACGCCCGCTGCGTTCGCGCGCTCAACTGCCCCCGAGGAGGTGGCCCGGTGCGCCGCCGCAACGCCATTCGAGATGCCGTGGCGCTCTGCTTGCGCGGGGTCGGCCATCGCGCCCTGGTGGAGCAGGTCGTCCCAGAGTGGCGCACGGAAGAACAGGGCGCGGCCACACTGGACGTCGTCTACCATCGAGGCCTCCACGGCCGGGCGTGCCTCGACATTAGCTTGGTGGGCGCGGTGGCCGTGGCCCAGACGTGGCGGCCGCATCAGGCATCCCTGCAGCGCAGGGAAAAAGTGAAGCACCGTAGATGCCCATTTTCTGGCCTGGTGCCCTTTGTTCTCGATGTCAATGGCCGCTGGGGCGCAGAGGCGGAGACGTGGCTGCGCCGCGCCGTAGGGGAATTGCCCGAGGCCGAGCGGCCCGCAGCGCGCTCGTCCCTGCGCTCGGCTTCGGCCAACGCCCTGCAGGGCCAAATCGTTGAGCAGGTCGCCCTGGCGACGGAAGACGTGGTCGGGCTGGGCGCCGGGGTCGCCCCGAGTGTCCGGTCTTGACTAGATGTGGCTCCCTCCCACACGCGTGTGCTCCTTGCTCCTTCCCCCCCTCCTTGCCTGCCTGCTGCCCTGATCAGCTGTAAAGCCTTGGTCACGTCAGCTGTGTGTACTGTACTGCGTAGTTCCTTCATAGTGTGCACGATGCGCCCTTGCCATGTCATGTCAGCTTTACATGCCGTCTTGTGCAGGTTTCGTGCGCGCTGTGCTCCCGCCGCGCCACCTTCGTTGGGCTCATAGTCTTGAGCGGTTCTCTCAACCCATCCGCGATGTGCCTTCGTTCCGCCAGCAGCATTAGCTCAAGGCCGCATGCAAAAGAGGCGTCAAGAGGCGTTCAAGATCGGGGGCGCCCCGCGGGTCCTGGGACCGTCGGCGGCCCGCCGTCCGCTTTGTCGCCCGCCCGCGACGTGTTTTCCTCGCCCCCTTTCCCCCTCTCCTGCCCTTCCAGGGTCCCGAACGGGGGTCAGGCCGCTTTCAGCTTTCTCAAGGATCGGTCTCCGCTCACCTGGAGCCGCTGGTCTCAACCTTTAGTTCCCCTGTTTCATGTGTGCTCCGCCTTTGAAGTCGGCCGCCCCATATTTGTTCGGTGTGCAGCCTCTCTCCCTCCCCTTCCTCCCTCGACAGCTGTTTGGCTCTTGAAGTTTCGCTTCGCGCGATCTCTCGAGCTGCGCCTCCCGCGCCATCCTTCCGACCAAGTGATGGCGCCCAAGTTCTCGAAGCCCGCGCCGATGCCGTGGCCTGCGGTGACGCATGCCGACTCGCCCAGTCACGATGCGGCGCCCTTTCGCGAGGCGCCGGCGGCGAAGGCTAAGGCGAAGTCCGAGGCTCGCGCGAAGGCCAGCGGTCTGACCGCGGCCGACGCGCCCACTCCCAAAGCGGGGCCTGCGCCGCGCCCTGGCCAGCAGGCGAGCGCGTCGGAGAGCAGCGACATCTCGGACGAGGAGTTCGACGTGATGTCGGAGGCGGCGACCTTTCGGACGGCGCCGACACTGCCGACGGAGTCGGCGACGCCTGCTGAGGGTGCCGACGGAGGCAGCGGTACGGGGGCCGCCCCCAGTGCCGCTGCCTCTGACGGTGCCTCTGACGGTGCCCCCACGGCGACGGCCAAGGCGCCCGCTGAGCCCTTGGCGATGCCCCCGTCGGCGGTGGTGCCAGTGACGAAGGCGGCCCTGGCGGCGGCGGCCACCTACTCCAACTTCACCTTGGAGCAGCGCCGCGTGTTGGACGCGAGCGCCCTCGCGCTCCACAACCTCCAGCTGCGGGAGCAGTCTGTGAGCGGCCACGGCGGGCGAGGCGCGCGCAGCGACGCCGACGGCTGCCGCCTCATGGACGATGAGGCCGCCAGTGTGGCCCCGAGTGCGGCGACCACGGGCGTCCTCAGCGGGCGCGGCGGCAAACGCCACTGCCGTCGCAGCAACAAGGCCGCCTACGGCAAAGCCCCCCCACCGAGCGGCGGCACGGCCGCTGAGCTCGAGGACGCTGAGATGATGACGGACGTGGACTACCTCGCGGCGGGCTACGTGCACTGCATGGGTGC